TTAGCTTAAATTTGGGCTTTACAACGCATCACATATGAATTATGATAGTAAAGTCATAAGTCAAACCTCCAACGCCCCTTGATCTTCTGTAACAGGCTTGCTTAGTATGACTTTTTTTTTTCCTTGATTAGCATAGTTTGAAGTCTATCCGATGCATCCAGTGTTATTAAAGAAAAATGCAATATATTCATGTGATGGTCATTAGCAGAGTGTATACGAGGCAAGGAGAACATAAAAAATGCAACAATAAGGAGACCAATTGTACGTGTCATATAATTACAACAATCAAAATTAAAATACCATTAAGGGCGGTCTGAAAGTGTTCGACATAACATGAGAGAAATTAAAAGTCATAACTTGATGCAAGAGATGCATGGTAATCTAGAATATCACAAATGCATATTGATCGCAATGATATGATCGATGTCCGAATATTTTGAGCATTCTGAGAGACTACCTAACTATATTGAAGTAGCCAAACATGATAATTTTGAATAACGTAACCTAAACGATAGTATTAACAAGATTATATCGTCATAACTAATGATTAAAGTCAATCAGACAATATATATATCGAAAAATCAATCTCAGCTTTCTTCATAATCCACAAATAATCAAATCCATAAAAAAAAAAGATTGAACGAGCAAGCCACGAGGGGTTTGTTCACGTAATATTTTTAAATGAAATAATTTCTCATACATATTATTAAAAGAATAAAATATACACACATTAATAAAATATATATTTTATCCATTCATAAAAAATTGATAATTAAATACAAAATATTATTTTTTTTATTACTAACAGAATTCTTGGTACAATTATTAAAAAATACTTATATTTAAAAATACAAAGTCAACAAATCTAAATAGCTAGTGTAAAACTTCGACCTTTTAGTCAACTTTACCTAATTAAACCAGTACAAAAATAATAATATAAATAAATAAATAAATAATAATAAAGTAAATTAATACTAACCTACATTATGGACACAAAACATGAGTAGATATGTGGGCCAAGTTAGCAATCTTTTCCTTTTATTATTATTATTTTTTCCATAAATCAATGTAAGTGGGGAAGGGACCAAATGAAAGACATAAATGGATGTGTTTGTTTGTGTTTTAAATTATTTGAATGTATTGTTTTGAATTTGAAAACTTTTATATGAAAAAATAAATTTTAAATTTGATATTTTAATTAGTATACTTATTTTTGCTTCCATCTCCACACAATTTACAATGTTTAGTGTTTCAAATCTTCTTTCACATTATTACTCCATTCGTTCCAAAAGTATAATTTTATTGTGTTGGGCACAGAATTTAAGAAATATTGATATTATATTGATAGTCGGTAAAAAGTAAGGATAAATGACTCTTTTGCCCTTGTGAGTATATTGGTGTAAAAAGTAGTGGCAATTGTGTAATAATAATGAAAAAGTTGGGATAATTTTACGGTGATATGATTATTTATGGAAATGAAACTATTGTTTTGAGACGGACAAAGAAGATAAACAAGAGTATTGTATTAAGACGGAGCGAGTATTATTTATCCGGCTGCAAGCTAGAGTTTTAACCTACACTTCTATATATTTTATGCATTATTTTTATAATTCAACATATGAAAAACACTTAGGGCGTGTTTGTTTGTAAATTTTAGTTTTTAAGTTTGAATTTTTGTATAATAAAAAGTTGAATTGAAATAGTTGTTTGATATGATATAAATAAAAGCTGATGTGATGTTTTGAAAATAAAATAAATTTGTAATATAATATAAAAAAAATTAATTGTTTGATGTGATATTTTGTAGTAAAATTTACAAAAGAACACAATCTAGTGAAAACACCTGACTTGGCTGCCCATAAGTAGATCATTGTGATCGAAGTAGATTAATAAATATTTGTGTTCTTATGTAATTTTTTGCTTTTTCTTAATTTCTTAGTTTTCGCAATAAAATGGACAATGTATGCAATGTTTTTGGATGTAAATTGAGGAATTAAATAGTAAAAAATAAAATAATATGTATACAAGTAAACATATATGTATAAATTTTATGTAATTTTAAAGTTTGATTTTAGTTTTTTTTTAGGGTTTGACAATTGCGATTATTTATAAAAATATATCAACTTTTTAATAAAGATAGCATATTTAAACTACTATTTAAACCCAAAAAGAAAATTAAATTTCAAAAGATAAGTAATACTTTTAACTTTTCAATATAATATTTCTATAAAAATTAAAACATTCCTTTCGTTCGAGTCAAAAGTATTCATTTGATTTTTGCACGTGAATTTAAATATATTAATACTTCCTCCGTTCCATAACTATATATCCGTTTGCTTTTTGCACGAAGTTTTAGAAATATTAGTATTATATTGGGATATAGTATGAATAAAGTAGTAATAACTACAATAATCTTATTAGTATTGTGTGATATAAATGTAATGACATTTGTGTAATATATTGTAAATTGTAAGGGTATTTGTAATGTTAGGTAGATAGTACAATTACTAAAAATAAAAATAAAAATGAATACTTTGTTATGAGACGGACTAAAATGGAACAATGAATAGTTTGTTATGAGACAGAAGAAGTATTTTATAAATATATGTATAGTCTTTTTTTTTTTTTTAACCATTGATACTAATGATATTGAAAGAATCATGACAAAAAAAAGAAGTATTTTGATATTTAATTGATATGTACTTTTATTATAAAAGAAAACGAATATCTTTTACTTGGATATATGAAAATGACAAAATAAATACCTTTGATTCGGAGGGAAAAATTTTTTGTGACAGGGTTAATGATCGAATAACAAACATAAAACGTAAAGAAGACACAGATTTTTGTGGTTCCTCAACAATATGTTGACTACGTTTACAAACATAAATGAAAAACAAATTTTATTGACATATTACAAATTTCATATCTCTAAAATTTATTTAAATAAGCTAAGAGAATACATCAGACGAAATAAAAAAAAATAAAAAAAAAATAAAAAAAAAAAGAGTGACAAACACAGCTTAATATTATAATACATGTGATGATACAACATTAATTGATGCAATTCAATAAAATATGGAATTGAAGTCTTGTTGTGTTCCTATTTGTTTGGTAAGAAAACATATTATTGTGTTGAACAGTTGGAATTCTTGCACATCTTGTCTGTTGGTTTAATCACAATTCTAATTTTTTAGTAATTAAATTTCTCTACACATTCCCCAAATTGAATTTTATTTTATTTTATTTTTAATTAAAGGGCACTCTTCAATATTTTATTACAACTCTCCATACACATGAAAATATTATATATACTATATATATACTAAAAGTATACTATTTTATTACTTATTACTTCCCCGTCCCAAAATTATAGTCTTGTTATATTCGGTATGAGATTTAAAAAATATTGATATTATACTAGTAATTTTGAAAAAATAAGGGTAAATGATTTTTTTTTGCCTTTGTGAGTATATTAGTTTAAAAAGTAGTGGCAATTGTATAATAATAATGAAAAAGTAGGGATAGTTATTTATTGAAATAAGACTATTATTTTAAGATAGACAAAAATGGTAAACAAACTAATGTATTGAGACGGATGGAACACTATATTACATGTCCACTACTATTTGAACTAAACTTTAAAAAAGATAATATATATATATATATATAATTCGTCTGTTGAGATGTATTTCTATGTATATGTTGCGAAGCAAATGGACTTTTTTAGTTTTGATTTTTTTAATTATAATATCATTTGTAATAATAAAAAAAAAAAGCACATCCAGCTACCCTTTTTTATTTTTTATTATTTTTTTTAATTTTTACATAAAGATAATAAAAATAAAACCTTATAAAAAACACATAAAGAACTGACCATGGGAAATGAAATTTGGAGGGCATTTTAATTTGCTAGTTTTGAATGAAACTGATGCTTTTAGATATGTTTTAGAATTGTTTTAATATTTTGAATTAATTATAAAATTTACAAATATGAAAAGGAAATAGTAGCTTAACTTACTCCCTCGGTCCACCGCCAATCTATCTATTTTGCCATTTTAGTCCGTCCATCGCAAATGTATCAATTTCCTTTTTAGTAAATGTACCTTCCACTAAAATATAAAATTACCCCACTCTTTATATAATATTACACAAATGCTATCAAATAGCACCATTTAATACCATAAATGTTAAGGGGTATAATAGTCTTTATGTATATCAATTGTACCACATCTCAATATAATATCAATATACTGAAATCTACGTATAAAAAGTAAACGGATAGATAGGCAGTGGACGGAGGAAGTATGTGATTTAAATTTATATTGTATGTGATGCTTTTATCAAGAAATATATTTTTGATGTAATAATTTAAATAGAAAAATAGGATTTGAATGTAATTTTTTATAAGGAGAAATTTTGATAAATACTATAAAAATAAAAATATAAATATAAATAAACAAAATTTTAATGTTTTCTGAGAAACAAATTGTTCAAGCACATGAATTAAAATTGAATAGGGTTATATTTTTATTAAAATCTTGAAAAATTCTTGGTAAATCTGAACTTTCAACTACTCTTAAGTTTCAAACTATTCTTGAAAGAATAATTAAAAAACAATCAAATTTACTGCAGTAAAAAAGTACACATCTAATTAATATATATATATATATATATATAAATATTTTTATATTCAATATATTTCAGACATACAAATGAAGAACAACAAAATCTTTGACTTAAAAATTGAAGCCAAATTCTTTCCAATCTTGAAATTGTTGAAATGAAAATTAAAAATAAAAAAAATAAATAGAAAATAGGCATTAATTCCGACATAATAAACTTTGGAGGTGATGCTTTGAAAATAAAATAATTTTTTGATGTAATACATTAAAATACAAAATATATTTTAAATTTACTATATATATATATTTAAAGATTATTTATTTATTTTTGGCAAATATATATAGCAAAACAAAAAATTAAAAACATAAGCAAAATAGAGTGCTTAAAAAATTTCCCTTTGATTAGGTAAATTTCTCAATGATCATTTACACAAAAAGATACACTTTTCTTCCTCAACAAATTTTGCAATCATCAAATCATATATATATAAATTCATATGCACTAAAATACTAATTAATTTCCTCATCCAAACAAATTAAAAACTTCAATTTTTTAATCATAATAACTTAACCTCAAATCATCAATCAATCAATAATCCCAAATATTCTTCCTTCAAGAAGATGGTGAGAATGAATTGTCACAAACAACCTCACTTTCAACTTCTCTCCGGTGGAAGCTCCGGTGGCAGCCGCAGGCGGCGCAGCTGAAAGCCATGGCGGTTCCCTCAGGCCCTCCGGCCATGAACTCCCGGCATCCGTCAACGGCGTACCCTCCGATGGTGGCTGCATGATTCCTCTGACATTCGCCGTATCGAACTGTCCGGACCACCGGGCTACTCGAGCTTCTAGAACCTTCTCTTCTGATCACTATCTGTCTCTTCTTCATCTCAGTTATTTTCCCCCTTTGCAAACCCTAATTTGATTTTTTTTTTTTTTTTTTTGTTTGTTTGTAAGAAGGGATCTATTTGTTGTATTGATCACCAAGATTCTTGATGAAATGAATTTGGGGAGATTAAGGATGTGGAAAGATTTTTTTTGTAGATAACTGAGTTTGGGGGAGAAATGAAAGCTCTGAAATTTTTGGAGCTTAAGCAAACCCTAGCTATGGTGAAGGGTATTTATATTGTTTGAGTTTTCTCTATTTCTTCCCCAACTTTGAAAAGTAAAAGGATATATATATATATATATATATGTATGTATATTTATTTATTGAAAATAAATATTGAGTATAATGGTTTGTATTTGTATTTGATTTTTTATTTTTTTATTTTTTAATGAAAAGTGTACGGACTAAACAGTAAAAATATTGGTTTGAAATTGAACCAAACAAATCCGTAAGATGTTTGAAATAATTTTAATTATTTATTAATTAATTAATTTAGCAACTTATTATGGTGTGTTTATTCTATAATTTTTTTTTCTTTGTAAATATTAATTATTTTATTTTACAAAATGTGACACCCACCCCTCTACTTAAATTAAAATTAAAATAAGAATGGGATAATTAAAAGGTAAAAAAATTGAAAATAATTAAAAAGGAAAGAATTTTTCTGTTCATCATTTGATTCTGATTGTTATTTATTAATTAAATTAATAATTGTTTGCTTTAGATATCAATATAATTAATTATTGTGAATTGATCACATATTATTATTATTATTATTATTATTATTAATTGAGGAAGCACCAGTCCCCCACTAAGAAAAAGACACCTACAGAGTGGCATTTCTTCTTGGCTTGTACATTTTATTTTATTTTATTATTTTTGCCTCAGATGATAACGATATGCATTTTTTAATCAAAAAATTGTCAATATTAATAATAGTGATAGTTGTTTTGGTTACGAGATTTAAGAAATATTAATATTATATTGATAATAGGTAGATATTATAAGTAAAAAATATTTTTGCCCTTACGAGTATGATAGTGTAAAAGATAGTGACAATTATGTAATAATAATGAAAGACTAATGGTAGTTATACAGTAATATTATTATTTATGGAAATAAGACTATTATTTTAGGACGCAAAAAAAAATTTAGTAAACAAGACTATTGTATTTGGACGGAGGGAGTATTATTGTTTGAGAAAATTATTGCTCTCCCCGTCTCATATCTATTTTAAAAATATTAGTATTATATTGGGATGTAGCAGAAATAAAGGTAAAAAAAAAAAGAAAAAAATTAAACTAATCTTATTAGTATTATATGATATAAACATAGTAACATTTGTGTAATTATTGTAAATTAGAAAGGTATTGTTAGGCAGATAGTCCAATTACTTTAAAAAAAAAAAAATTGATATTTTATAATGAAACAGACCAAAATTGACAGATTTTCAAAGAACCGAGGGAGTATTATTATTATTATTATTTAAGTCTAAGTACACAACCTATCAGATCTGTATCGGATTAGTCCTACAATTTGAAAAAAATTGGCAAAAATGGTCCAGGCACTGGAGTTGCTGCCGTGACATGTTAAAAATTGTGTAGATGACAAGTATATAACGTTTATAAATTATTTTTATCAAAATTTTATCGTTCTTAATGATTTTTAAATGTTTTTTACATGTTATTCATACAATCTTCCACGTGTCATGATTGTATTGTATCAGCAACTTGAGTGACTGAGTATTATTTCTGCCAAATTATTTCTTTATTATTATTATTATTATTATTATTATTAGTGGACACCATTATAAATTGTGTGAGATTAGGTAATTAGCAGCATAATTGTGGAGGCATCTTTCAAGGGTAATTTTTTGACCACCGAAGATTCTATCTTGATTTTAATTTGATTTTATTAATGTTGAATAAAAGCACTTTGGGTAAATGGAAATATGATTATATATATATTTATAAAATGTTAGTTTGACTTTTATTTGTAGATAAATAAATAAATGAAGTGTATTTTAAAGTTTAATTTTTTTAGCTGAGTTGATCATTTTTTTCATCTAACTTTGACACTCTATCAGAGTTTTAGATCTTAAATTCGAATTCTACCATCCACCAATTTTTTTTAGTTGTTTGTCATAAAAAAAAATTAGACATATTTTCTTTTTAAAGTAATATATATATACATCAAAAAAACTTTTTACCATTTAAAACTATTTTTTCTATTTTTCTTACTATAAAATATAAAAAATACACATCATATTAATTTATGCTCAAATCAATAAATTTATTTTTACATAACAGATGAAGTAATATATTAACACACAAGAAGTTCCTCAAACTATAATACTCCCTCCGTCCGGTAAGTTTTTCCTTTGGTTTTTGCACGTGAATTAAGATAAATTAGTATTTTTTATGGATACATAGTGTAATAAAATAATTTAATGTCTATTTTTGATTTTGACATAGGAATATTTTAGTATCATTGATAGTTACTTTTTCTAAAATAAAATGAGAAGTTTTAACTTGGACATAATAAAATAAAAAATATTGTCTCAATCCGGCTCTAGAGGTCTCATTTACTTTTTGTCATTGTACTTAACATTAAAAATATCTTTATATTCATATAATGTTTTGCAAAGATGTCACTATAATAATATTATAAAATACTAATAGAAGTATTTTTATTATTTTTTTTTAATTTGTACCATATTTTTATATAATAATTAATATTTAAAGATCAACACCAAAAATATCCTTCAGGCAAGACGGAAGTAAATAATACATTTACTCAGAGTATAATTCTATTATTAAATATATACATTGAATTTACATACAAGTGTAATGAATGATCCTCTCTCCGTCCCACGTATCATGTCCACATTGTCGTTTCTGTTTGTCCTACATACTATGTCATTTTTCTTTTTTGGTATATGATTACACACTCTAATCTCATTTTAATTTTTTTAATTAATTATTTTTAATTATAATTAAATTAATTAGTTATCTTAATCTTAATTTATAATTATTTATATTATAGGATAATTATTTTCACTAATACATTCTTAATTATTTACTAATTACATCCCTCCTAAAATACCGTGTCTACAATGTAACAGACACGATATGTGAGAAGGAGGGAGTATTATTCAATAATCTTGATTATATATTTATTTGAAAAATAGTCATTTAAATAATGATTTAATTGAGAGAGCTATTATTAATTAATTATATAAAAGTTGCTTGTTTGGTTTAGGGCTATTTAAGATGGCATCTAATTGTGAATTAATTTGTGGGTCCTTATTTATTTAAATACTAATTAAATAAGATGTTTTGTGATATAAAAAGTTACTCTCCTCGTCCTACCAATCATATTCATATTTCGTTTCTATCCATTCTATATTTCACATAAATTGTCTATATTTTTTATTTCGATTTATTTTAAATAATTTATTCATTTTCTTTTCTTGAAAATAATTATATATTTTATTGGCATTTATATTTTATACTTTATATTTTAATTTTAATTAGATTAATTAATTAATTTTAATTTAATTTATAATTCTTTATATTATACAATAATTATTTTTTCTCATACATTTTAACTATTTACTAATTATAATCTTTTTAAATTTTCATCGACAATAAACCGGACAACTTAGGTAAGACAAAGGGAGTATTATATTTTAATATTGTCCAAAGTTCACACTCATTTTTCTATTTCTTTATCCAAAATTCTCAAATTTTTACTATTTGAATAATGTATTTTTTTAAAAAAAATTCTCTCACAAAATATTCCATCAAATATTATTTAAATACAAAATTTAAATCAAAATTTTCTTAAAAAAAAAAAAAAAACCCACTAATCTTTCTTGACACTCTTTTCTAATTAATTAATTAATTAATATTGCTTAAATAATCAGGCCAGAATAAGATACTGAGAAGATTGCACTTACTACCCACTAATTAAGACAATTGATATTATATTTATCACTTTAATTATTATTATTATTATTTAATTTTTTATTTATAGAACACCTGGCACTTAATAATTTATAAGACCACCCCACACATTAATATATTATTCTCGTTGAAATTGTGACTTCTTATTAGGTGATTATTTAATTTTTAATTATTTTTAGGAATGTGTTTCTTTGAGTTTAGATCTCAAAAGATTTATTAGTTTGGATTTTATATTTAAATAATATTTAATATTATTTTTTTGTGAGAAAAATAAAATAAAATTAAATAGTAAAAAATAGAAATATTTTGCCAAAGAAATGTACCTAATTCAAATTCTCAATATTTTAAAAGTGTTTACTTGTACTCTCTTCGTCCAGTTAGAAAGTATACATATTTTTATTTTGGGACGTCCAATTATAAAGTAAACATTTCATTAAATTACTCATTCTTTCCACAAATACCCTTACTTTACATCATATCAATAATTTTACACCAAAAAGCAAAGGCAAAAATATCATTTTATTATTTTTAACTACCCTCTATAATTAAAATACTATTATTTCTTAAAGACCGCGTCAAAAGTAAATGTTTACTTAGTGTGTGGACGGAGGGAGTATTTTTTTATTTTTGATGACGTGGGAGCCTGCAACCGCTACCCGAAAGTGTTTACTTGTATTTTTATATTGGTTTTGTGCTGTTTATTTTGATATTTTTAGGTAAAATTTATTATTGAATATGGTATTTTAATATGAAATTTATGTGTTGAATATAGTGTTTTTAATAAGAAAATAGTATGAGATAAGTTAAAATAAAATTAAAAATAACAGACGAAAATAATAAATAAGACTATTGTCTTGAGACGGAGGAAGTATAATTTTTATTTTATCTAGTTACATAAAGTGATCAATAATTTAACACAAAATAATTTTTTTTTTTATATATTAGCTTAATAATTCTTTATACTTAATACAGAAAGTCCGTCAATTCAAAAATACAAAATGAACACACTACAATTTATAGAATTCATTTTTTTTAAAAAAATTACATATTTATTTTTTTATACACCATGATATAATTTTCATTCAAAATATTATATTGGGTTGTGTTTGTTTGGAGTTCTTTTGAAAGGATTTTAATTTTTAATCAATTTTTTTTTCTTCAAAAATATTAAATTAAATATTTATTTTTATTTATAAATGGCATGTCATATTTTAGGAGTATTGAACATCCAAGCTGAATATTTTACTTAAAAGTGGACGAAATAAATGACAAAAGGGAATCAATTTTC